TTTTTTTTTTTTTTTTTTTTGCAATGACAAAGCACAGATTACAGTTTTGGTAACAATTTATAGTAATTTATTCGAAATCACACAGGGAATAGATGCAGAAGGTGATGCTTCACCAATAACCTTTCTTTGGAATAAATGAATTCATTTGGGTTTGTCCAGTTCAACTCAAGCCCACAGCTGTTATTCCAATGCATTGTTAAAAAAAAATAATAATAATAATTTTAAAAAAGGCAATAATTCCCAGGATCAATGTGAAAAGATTTTTATGAAAATGAACAAAATACCTACAGCAAAACTTAAAAGTGGAAAAAAATAACAAGGCGAATTTAAAAACTTAGCCTGGTCAGTTTCACAGAGGAAGACGATCAGACTGCCTCCAACCGTTAATTTTCTGTGTGAATAATCAACAGCTTCTTTAAGTTTCTTAAAATGACTGATGGAAATGAATATAACACTTTTGAACTTGAAGTTGTCAAGGTAAGCCTGGTCTAGCTGTTAGTTTTAGCCTTCTGAACCAACTAATCTAAATGTAAGAGACAACATCACCTGAATATTTATTAACTATCCCTCCTCATTGATTGGGAACTTAACATGAGTCACAGAGTGATTCTGTTGTGCTACATACATGTTGGACAAGTTATTTACCCAGCTGCCACGGTGAAGCACACAGACTTACAGGCTGTTGGGAGTGTTGCATGTCTCCAGGTCCTGAATGATGTTAAGCAGGGTGGTGATCCTGTCCTTGTTGGCCGCCAGGCTGGCCTCCACGGTCTTGAGCCTCTGCTCCAGGCCTGCAGACCTGCAGCACTGCGGGGAAGGCGGCAACAGCAGCGCCGCGTCGGACGGGTGGGAGTGAGACAGCCCAGTGCCCTCGGGGCCCGACTGAGGAGCAGCGGGGCTAAACTTTAAATCTGCTCTGCTTATTCCCTCCACCTCTCTGGACGGGAGGGTGAAACTTGATTTAGCGAGCATTGCAGGCGGCTGTAGGTCGAACTCCCGGTCAGGGCCTGTGTGTGCCGAGAGCCCTCCTTTGCCGGTGAACGATGCTGGCACGCTGACAGAAGGTTCTGGACTTGTGTGTGTTTGCCTCCGTAATGTAATATCGAAATTGGAATTTTGGCAGTCGGCGGCAGACTGGGTGATGTGTTTCACCTCTGTGTTTGTTTGCGAGATACTGGGCTCACAGTTAGTTTGCGTCTTGACCGGGGGCGATGAATAACCGAGATGCTTCTGCCCATCCGCGTTGGATTCAAATGCACTATTTGCACGGCTGGCTGCTGCACCCAAGGCAAACTGTTGTGCATTCGAATCGGGGTGCCTGGCTGCCTGGCCCAGTGGATTTGTTGCGCTGTGTCCCTCATGGTCTGCTCGTGTGCATCCTTTATAATGTTTAAGTCTTTGTTTTTCTCTGTCCAGACAACCCTGCGGAAGAAAGGTGCTTGACTTAATTGGGGAAAAGCAATTCTGAGGGTTAGTGACCCGTGAATTTTTATGCTCTTCAGGCTTGTGCACCGCTAATTCATTGACAGCACGGTCGATACATTTGTTTTTATTACATTGTAATTCCACAGCGGGGCCGATAGTTGGATTAGTGTGATGGCTTTTAGTTTCACTTCCTCCCTCGGCGGTTCCCAACATATTTGGTGACTTTTCGAGAGGAGTTGCTGCGGAGTCGCTCTGCTGCTTGGTAACGACGCCCCAAACGCGAGGTTTATTACTGTTTTGACTGCTGATGTCTGGTGCTTGTGTGTGGTGAGCTTGGTTTTTGTCGTGTGCGTCGCCGTTCCTTAGCACCTCGGTTGCGTCTGTCAACTGAAGCAAACACGCACCGGATGCGGCAAGGTCATCTCGTCTTTCTCCGCCCAGAGACGCCAGAGAACCGTTCAGGGATGTGACTTGTCTCACCTCAGTTTTGACGGTCATATTTTCATATACCGTGCAACGACCAGCTGCGGAGCTCGGGAGAGCTGCGCGCGACTCACCTTTTGCTTCCGGGGACTTGGACGCGCCAGATATTGTGCGTGCAGAGGACGCGGAAATATGCGGCGCAGTTTCAGAGTCTGAGGAGTTAGGCTGAACCGAGTGGATTTTCGGAGCCACGGCGTTGTCTGTGGTGCCTCTACATGAAATTTGATCTGGATTGACTTTATAATTCAAAGAGACGGCGGCACTTAGGAGCGAATGCGGCGCAGGTTTCTGAGGCGGATTAGCAGAAGCAGGGAATTGAGCTGGGTTGTCAATAAGAGATATTTTAGCTGGCGATACGTCGGCAGCTCTTGACGGGGGCTTTTCCTGGCATTTATCTAAATCAGATGGGGAGCTTACCATTGTGAGATATGAAGAAAGGTCTGATTCAAGAATTTGTGCTTTGTGTGTTGAGTGCAAGGCTTCTGGCGCCTGACTGACATTACTATGCGGACACATCCTCTCCAGATTAAAAGTTGCCTGTGCAACTGGACTGGATGTTCTTTGACTTCCCATGGCTACAGTGTACAAAGATAAAGGTGGACACTCGGGCACGGCGTGCACAGAGACACATACATTTTGAGTAATATTATCTTGTAGGTAGTGGTGAGGCGATGTCTTGAGGCGCTGAGGGGAAGCTTGAAAGGTTTTGGTTGCCGTGGCCATTTGAGGCGTCGAGCAAAAACTTGAAAGGATGGAGATTTTATTGTCCTGGTTGGGTTTTGCGAAACAGTTTGTTGCGGAACTCGCCTGCCTGCTTTCAATTCTGGCTTTAGCAACCGTAACAGTTTTAGTGTGGAGAATGGCTTCCGGTTGGACGGATGTCACGTCGCTTGAAGCGTGTGTGCGATACAGAGTTCCTGAACCAACCCTGGAATGCACCGGACATGCAGGGTGGGGTGTTCGTCGATATGTTATCTCTTCATTAATATAATACAAGTGTGGGTTGCTTGCAATCTGTGTGTTCTTTACTCCGCTGCTCTGAGAGTTTAGCTGGTTTTGTTTCAGTGTATGAGGAAGTTTTAAATGTGTGGCTGTAAACAGAGATGCGAGGGCTGGCTTTGATGCCTTCTCCCCGAAGAGAGCCTCGGAAGTGGTCTCCCCCGGGACGGCGCCTCTGGATATTACAGACTGCTTCCCGCCACACTGGTTGCACGCCTTTTTCGACTGGTCTGCGCAAAGATGGCGCGAGACCGTTCCGTGAGAAGCCGCGGCCTTCGAGGGCTCCGCGTCGTCTTTGACTTCGATGATCCCGCCGATTGCCTCGGAATCCACCACGCTCCCGTTGATGTAACGGGTGGAAGACTTCAGTCTGGTTCTGCCGCTGCTGGCGGTGCCTGCAATGAGGGGATTGGTTTTAATTGCCCTGGCATAGCAGTACGTCCCACCACTTCTCTTCTGACAGCCGGCGACATCCTTTGAACCGACACCTCCGAGTGCTTTGAAAGTCACTTCCTTTTTGATCTTGGTTTCCTCAGTTTTCTGCCTTAAAATAGCCCTTTTCTCGTTGTCACTCTTCACATGAAGCGATATGGCCCTGGTTTCCTTGGCGGTATATGTGTTAGATGTTTGAGTAACATTGTTTGAGACGCTATCAGGTAGCTGAACAAGTGGTCTGCTAATCCCCGGAGACGTCTGAATGCCGATGCTGCACTGTCCCCAAGTCTGGAGCAGCACTCCTCCGCTTCTGTCTCCTCCTGTTGTCTTCCAGCTCCGCACCCCTACAGAGGCGGGGACACCCAACACCGGAACCGGCGTCGTCAGGTCAGCCGCTCGCCTCCCCATCCCTTATTTGGCTCACTTAAAAGGTCTGAGAAGTCAAGGAAGGGACAGCGCTTTTCGCATCATTTTGTCCATCTGCAAGAAAAAGAGGAACACGCGTTACAGTGAGAGGCGCTCAGAATGGTGCTGCAAAGAAAATCCACAAGCAAGCAGGATTATCTAGCACAACGCAAGAGTTGAAGCAGAGGCAAAAACAACCTGCTTCAGTACAGCAGAAGCGATGAAAAGATTGAGCTGTCAAGAAATCAATTGCAGACTCGAGATTAGACAGGAAGAACTGTGCACCCAGTTTTCAACATTTTTCATTAATAGCAGAAAATAAGTAAGGAAGGAAATAACTTAAATGATGATCAAAAAGAAAAGGGGTGACTGCTGTGAAAACAATTCATGTCCAGATGAACCGATGAGATTTATTTAGCTTTTATTTGGTCATCGATTTTTGTAAAGTTTTGAACTGCTGATACCAGTTTCTACTATTTCAGATATCTCCTTACTTGATCACAATTAACTGAAAAAATTTCACGTTTATTAGATGGTATTCTTGAAAATGCTCAAAGGGACCATCTTTTCCTGCATCACTGAAAATCTACATGAACAGCAAAATCATCTAGGCGATGGGAAGGAGGTAATAATAAAGGAAGCAAAACTAAAAACAACAGCATTTATCCTTCACCTGTTACCAAGACAGATAATCAATCAGCATTTTTTATTTTTTTTTTTTTTGCAAACTCTAATGTAGACGTACTTTATATAGGAAAATATTTTTCTTTCACAATTCAAAATAGTTGTGAAAACTGTTCAAAAAATAAATGGCAGCTGTGACTGAGTTAACATTTAGGAGAAAAACCAATGTCCTATCTTGATATATTAAAACATTTATTGTGGCTCTAATTGAACCTTGTAGCAACCACTCGCTCATGAATAAATATGACTATTTACGTCAGAATAAGAGCCGACATTGTGCGTGCGTGCGTGCGTGCGTGCGTGTGTGTGTGTGTGTGTGTGTGTGTGTGTGTGAGAGAGAGAGTGAAAGAGAGAGTGAGTGAGCAGTTGCTGTTACACAGCTCTGTGATTTAAACAAATTCACTATTATGTTAAAATAACAAACGTGATTGTGGAGGATGGATTTTAATAGGTTAGATAATCTTCAGACCTTTTATGAATATTTACCTGGATAAGTGAATTTACCGAGGTTATCATTTGTCTTACAATGACCGGTTTTCACAGTGAATAAAACCATATGGTGTTATTATCACTGCAGCCTGGCTGCACTTGTGTAATATACGGTTTTATCACAGATCGGAAAAACGTTTGAGAGTTTTTTATTCACAAACTTTGAGTTGTACTACCGGCTTTGTGTCTCACAGTTTCGACCATGAGAGCGTCAGTAAATGTCCATATTTTTTAAAACATACAAATATAGTTTTTTTTTTTGTGATTATTATTAATATTTTTTTTAACTTTATTTATACAAGTGGTCTCATTGAGATCTAAGGATCCAGGTCTCTCATTTAGAAGAGAAGAGACCTGTTTTAATAAAACAAAAACAATTTTCAAACAGCAACAAGACAGTTAGTTAAGGAATTAAATAAATTAAATAAGCTAATAAAATGAGACGTAAAAACAAGAGCAAGTTTCATAAGAAAACGAATAGTTACTGGAATGAAAACTACAAATTATGGTGATGACATTTTAAGTCCTTCCCTGTATCTGATTAATGGATCAGAGCCGGTCAAGCAAACTAAAGCGTCCAATTCCAGGTCAGCGGTGACTTTCTTGGCGCAGCACTTCTATTATTATGTATTAGTATGAACACACACCACAAATGTAATGCAGACCAGAATTCAAACTGTGACTTCTGGGATGCAGTTCCCTTCACGTCTTTTGTCTCTGTTTTTTTTTTTTTTTTATCATATCCATGTGCCAGTATTCTCATGTCATTTTTTTTTTTATCTGTACCACAGTTTGGCAACAAGACAGTAATGTGTGGATTTTGGCAGCAAAGCAGCCTTTTTATTTATCCATGAAAAAGCAGCCAGTCTAAAAGTGTGTGTATGCGCGTTTTTGCTTTCAAGTGTTGATTTATGACAAATTCTTTATGCAAACACATTCTGACATCCCTTCCCTCCTCTTCTTCTCCTTTGACGACTTTCCTGCACACACACACACACACACACACACACACACACACACACACACACACACACACACACACACACACACACACGTTTAAAACTGCAAGAAGTGCATTTAGTCAGCTATACCAGGAGGGACTATTATTTTGGATTGTTGTGTTTAATGTTGCTTGAGCTCAGTCAAGTGACCTATGTCTTCCTGCACAGTCTAATGATAAGTGACAACTGTCATGTTCTGTTAATACTTCATTAAATCCCCCTTTGCAGAGCTAAATAAAACAGGCAACAACAACAACAAAAAAAAAAGGAGAAGAAGAAAAAAGCCATGGGACATTTTATAACAACTGTTTACTGCAAATTTATGGTTACTCTGATTCCCACTCTTACCTGAATGTTAATGCAGTCCAGCTTCAAGTTTGCATTCCTCCAAGTTTCTGTAGGTTCCCAAGGATTGGAGAGACTTTATCCTTGTAATGTCAGTTCTTAGAAATTCCAAACTCGGGACTCAGTATGCAGTCGGTTCGACCGAGCAGTGCTTCTTAATAATAAGGTTTCCACTCCATCGCCTGAAGTCTGAACTCATCTACCATTTATTGATCCAACATACAGCTGAGCTGTGTCCTGTTTTGATTCTGCTGCTCCATGCAAACCCCCATTGTCAGAACATGGCAATCTGCTACACTGGGCTGCAGCCCCCTTCTCTGTCCTACTCTTTGTCTTGTCCTTTGTCACCCCCCCTCTCTTTCACTCTCTCCTTCTTTCACCCCTTTCTTTCTGCCACTATCCTCCTTCCCAGCACGCGTGCGTCCTGGTCTACAGCTGGGCGACGAGAGAGCAAAGAGAGAGAATGAAAAACAGACAGGAGAGGGAGGCAGTGACTTGCATCAGCAGAGTAGGGAGCGTCTGTAAATTACCATGCAATTTAAATGAAGCATAAAATGGAAGTGGCAATAGAAAAAATAAATAAATGGAAAACAACACGTAGCACCTTGAAAGATATGGAGTGGAAAAAAGTTACATTGGTTGGACACCGTGTGGCAGTGGTAATTTGTTTCCATCATGCATACAGATAAGGCTCACTTTCCCATTATCACCGGTGTGAACAGTGTTCGGTTTCTCACGTCAGTCTCATCATTTGGCTGCAACCACAGGTCGATTTATTACATTTTCTCTGAACAAGTGTAATTTTTTGTGCCACTCCATCAGAATGAGAGAAACAACATGTGTGAGAATACAGTGATTTCACCATAAAACATTGTTACGTTTGTTGCTGAGCTATCTTTAAGTACTTTCCATATATGAACATGTTCTGAATATTTATCTCAACTGCAGCACCATATCTAAACAACGTATTTTTATTTATTTATTTAAAAAAAACAACAACATTTGTTTCTTTGGATGGGCTGCAGAGTGGCACAGTGGCACAGAGCTGTTGCCTTGCAGCAAGAATGTCCTTGGTTCAATTCCCGGCCTGGAGTCTTTTTGCATGGAGCTTGCATGTTTTGTCCAGGTGCTCCGGTTTCCTCCCACAGTCCAAAAACATAACTGTCAGGTTAATTTGGTCTCTCCAAATTCTGCCAGTGTGTGTGTGCATGGTTGTTTGTCCTGTCTGTGTTGCCCTGTGACAGACTGGTGACCTGTCCAGCCTGCCACCTCTTGCTCGCTGGCTGCGGGAGACAGGCACCGATACCCCTCCCGACTCCAATGGGATAAGGGCGTAAGAAGATGGATGGATGTTTATCATGTAACATATATATATATATACACACACACACTCTGGACAGGTTGCCAGACAATCACTGGGTTCTATCACATACAGCCAGTAGTAGCATGACAAAAAGTTACAAAATTCAACAGGAACACTTTTGCAAGCAATGTATACATAAATCTAATAATAAAATAAATCTAAGCAATTAAACACAAATTTAGATCATTAGTAAACAATACTGAAAAATAAGCCCAAAAAGTCAAAACATTTTCTGATTTTGAAAACGAGAACAAATTCTAGAAAAAAAATGGTAGAATTCTCTACACAAAAATGTTAAATTTTCTCTCGGAAACTTGAGGGAAAAATGCAAATTCCAAAATGAAATGTCCCTAACATGCATCAAAACCAATGCCTACATTAAATATTTAGAAATAAATTCCATTTTCACGGCAGCAACATGGACCTCAATGTAGCACTTTCAGTTTGCACTGCAACCAGTATCAAAATGACCTGCAAAATCTGAATTCTTCCTGAATATGTTGGTTTAACAATTTTGTTAGCTTTAGCTGTAAGTCGTTTTGTAAATCCCACAAATAAAGAAAAAAATAAACTTTTTATTTGTAGCTGTATAAATAACCTAAACCTGAATTGAAATTGTGTGAAATCATTTCCTTGAGCTAAGCAGCCTGCTCTCACTGTATAGAGAAAAGGAACTTACACCTGAAAGCCAGAGATAAACTCATCCCGCGTTCTCTGGACCTGCTATTATGACAAGTGAAACTGCAGCGTTTATATAATGCACTCAAATAGCAGGGGGGTTTACAGCACTGCACACGCATCACTTTACTCATAGTGCTGTTAAATAGGTCTGTGAGCTTTACTGATGGAGCCGCGTTTAGTAGGCTGATCTTAAATTCCATTTCCGGATCCCCGGGGATCGCGAGGCCGACTTTCTGGGAAGAATACAACCCCAAAGCTGCTGGGGATGCGGGTTGCATTTATATGACATCAGCGGAAAAACGCCTTGAACGGCCGCTTTATTGTCGCTGCAAAAGTTTCCCATGTCTGGCGCGTGTTTATTATTCATTCATGTGTTTCTTGAGCATTCTTCCTCGGCATCAGCACTCTGTCTCTTTTCCGTTCAGTTGGCTTTTAGAGCATGTGGCTCCTTGTGAAGAGTGATGCGTTGTGGCTGCAGCAGTAGTGGCAGCACAGGCTGCAAATGAGGGGTCCAGGTGGAGCTGAGAGCAGCAGATTTTTTTTTTTCAGGTTAATTATGGAATGTTACTGGAAACAGTTCACACCTGCACACACCAACACCAGCGGACACGACACATGGTCCGTCGTTTCACAGATTCAGAATCGGCTTTAATTGTTAATGTTCCTTAACAAGGGATGTGACTTGTTAAGCAACACATAAAAGAGCTGCAACACTTTTTCCGATGTGACAACGGGTTTTTGTGAACCAAACTAGAACTTTTGTGTCACAGTTCCCTCTTTGGTTTGTGACAGCATTCCTGTTTTATTAATCCAGGAGGCTGGAATTATTATGAGTTCCTAATATCCAAAGCCTACAGGTGTTTATTAGGCTGAAGGTTAAACTGAAGATGAAGAAGGATTTAGTTTTTTTTTTTTTTTCAGCATCATGATGAGTTTGTAAGAACAACAGAATGGGTTTAAAAACAGTGGGAAAAAAAGAGAAAGTTTTAGAAAGGTCCAGGCAGAGTCTAGTGCAAAGTGTTATTAGAAATCCTTGCTGGGACCTGAGAGAGGAAACCACCTCACCAGTCTGGTAGATTAGAAAAAATTGTGCTTCGTCAAGATGTCGGCTGGTCATAGACTCTGGAAAAAAAAAAGAAGCACAAATTAAGAAAAGTGTTTTTTAAATTAGTTTTTCAGTTGAATCGTTCATGTGTCACATTGGTGGAAAAATGTTCCACTTTTGAGAGTCGGTTCATCAAATATATGAAAAGTGACATAATGTTTTAATAGAGGCTATTAAAACATAGCCTCTATGTTTTACCAGTGGCTAAAACATAGAGGGTTTTAGCCACTATGTTTTAAACATAGAGGCTAAAACATAGCCTCTATGTTTTAATGGAGGCTATGTTCTATTAAAACATAGAACATTAAAGTTTCATTACTCTGAAACTTCAATTGTTTGGCAATCATGGCACAAGAAAAAAGGGTATTTGACATTATTTTCAATTGAATGATATATTATTGACCACATTCCTCAACTGACTAGTCATAATTCGAACAAATCATGAGATTTGTAAGTATCAAGAGCTTCTCCTGCAACTGTTTTTACAATAATAATAGAAAGCCTGCAATTTAACAAAGCAGCCACTGAGGGGCAGCATCAGCAAGGTCTTATCATCACTTCCTTTTGTTTCATTCAGGTGCTTCCATATTCTGTGGCCAGGATCTTTACTGCAAAATGTTATGTAATGATATCTATTAATACATTGTTGTCCATCATGTCCACAAAATAAATACAATGTCTTGTGGAAAAAAATGCATAACCCCTTGAATCATTTACCGGTTGTTCACGTTGCAACCATAAACTTAATAGTATATGAGTGAAAATCTGGCCTTTTATGACAGCGAGGCAATAGGAAATATATAGTTGAAATAAAAAGCCGTGTTAGAAACACAGTAAACATGTAGAAGGAGGAGGAACATATAGTCTACATGCAGATCCTGATTTGCATTGAGTTGAAGAGAAAAATCGGACTTTTGTTTTTTCTTTTCAGTTACGTAAAGAGCTTGTTTGGACTCCAGACAAAGTACTTCTTGGAGCTTTTGCTCTGTTTTTCCCCAAATTCCTCAGGAAGGGGGCTGGTTAGGCAATAATAGTAAGTTTCGTTTTTCAAAAGTAGATGCAAAGGATCTTTCCAGAAAGCTCTGTCTTTCTGGACAGAGCTTTCTGGAAGCTACTACTTTTTACTACTTTTACTACTTTTTAATTATTATTATTTTTTTTTTACAGATGTTTGGCTCTTCTTTAAAATTATTTAAAAAAATAACAAGAGATGAAATTATACAGGGTATTTGATTAGGACGATATTGATTGGGACAATATTGTCTTTATCCAAGTAGCTGTTTTTAAATAAATAATAAAAAAAATCATTAAAATAAACTTGATTATTCTAAAACTGACATAACTGCTGTGTAACTGGAGGCACAAAATACAGACATCTTAATTGTTTATTTATTCATTTTTATTTAAATCAGACCTAAACTTTTATTATTAATCAAATTATGACATTTAAAGCTACTTTTCAACCACAGTTGTTGCGTTATCCTAATGTAATCTTGTCAGTAAAAATACTTTTAGATATTCCAGATTATATGTAAAAGCTTATAACTGTTCATTTTTAAAATGAATTGGAAGCAAAATGGTTCTCCCTCTTCAGGTTTCTGCTGTCAAACATGTTTTAATTGTGGACAGCACAAATATATATATATATATAAACCATCTTGGAAACAGCATCATCCTCTTAGTCTTCCTGAATGTATTGTTCATGACTTTCTTTAAGACAGAAAAAAACACATAATCAGATCTACACAATATAATTCACACCCCTATTTCCTAAACATATTCATACGTGAAACTGGAAACGTGTTAAAAGATTCCCCTTCAGTATAAATGGTGGTCTTGATTAGACCAGCATTAGCTCCACATTGTGTGTTTGATTGCTAAGCCTGACCAAATTAATGATTTACTGCCTTTGCAGCTTGGAACCATAAAATAATTAAGAATTTAGATAATTAAATGCTTGAGGTAAGGCAATTAATGTCTTAATGAATGATACACCTAATTTGTATGTAATTAGTTATTTGTGTGTTTATTTCCCATTTAAATTAATTAAGGACATCTGGAAATAATTTGTCGGCCGATGTGATAATTTATTAGAATGTGGCCCTTATGATCTGAGCCCCTGTCATGTCACCTGATCTACTGAGTTCAGAGTGCTGCATCTTTGGTAATCCAAGGCTTACTGATAAAGTTTTCTGGTACATTACATTTTCCAGCAGTAACACTTGTGCATAAAAGCAGAACTAGCTACTCAAAACACAAAGTTAAAATTGAATGTTTGAAGAAATAGTGTGCTTCTAGTGTGCTTGGCTGGACTTAAGCAAGGGCCTAATTTA